CATATGCTTAAAATTTCCCTAGGAGGTGGCACTCTTCGTCCCTGAACTTGGGAGGCAGAGGCAGACTGATCTCTATGAGTTTGAGGCCAGCCTGGTCTACTTAGCAAGCTCCAGGTCAGACAGAGCTACATAGAAAGGCCTCGCCTCAAAACCAAAATAAATAAATAAAATTAAAAAACAAATAAATAAAAATATTCTTAGGAGCTGAGAATGTGGGGTAGTTGCTTGGTGTTAGTCCAGTGGCCTAGGTAGAAAAAAGAGGTGGTCCTTGCGTACAAGTTGTAGAGTTTTGTTGTTGTTGTTGTCTTTTGTTCTTTTTTTCTTTTTCTTTTCTTTTTTTTTCTTTTTGGGGGCCCACCACCCAGCTCCCAAATAAATCACAAATCTTGTAAATGCCCAGCTTAGCCTGACTTATTTCTAGCCAGCTTTTCTTAACTTAGATTAGCCTGTCTACCTTTTGCCTCTGGGCTCTTACTGTTCTCTATTTTTGTACACCTTTATTTCTTACTCTGTGACTTGCTGTGTGGCTGAGTGGCTGGCTCCTAGAGTCCTCCCCTCCTCCTTTTCTGTCCTGTTTATGCGCTCTGCCTTTCTCCTGCCTTGCTATTGGCTGTTCAGTTCTTTGTCAGACCTATCAGGTATTTTAGACAGGCAAAGTAACACAGCTTCACAGGGTTAAACAACTGCAACCGAAAAGATGACCACACCTTTTCATCGTTAAACAAATGCTACACAGCATAAACACATCTTTTACTAGTGTTCTACAGCAGCAAGTGGCTCTCAGCCTGATTGTAACCAGGCACAGGAGCCGAAAGCTGTAGTTTGAAGAGGGTCCTGCTCTCAGCGAAACTGAATACCTACCACGTACAGGTACAACAGGAGGCTGGTTCTGGGTACTGTATAACGAATTTAGTTCTGGAGGCTGGAGGTCTTATTTCAGTATGGCAAGAAAGCCAGGTGTGATATCGCATACCTATAATGCAGCGCTTGGAAATGGAGGTCGGAGGAGCAGAAGTTTGAGACCATCTGTGACCACACAGTGAGTCTGAAGCTATATTTGAAACTCATTTTAAAAGACAGGGTATAGACTATGTAGATCATTCTGGCCTTGAACTCACAGTGGTCCCACCTGCCTCTGCCTCCCCAATTGGGATTAAAGGCATGCCTGCCACCTGCCCAGTGAGACTGTCTTAAACAAAGAAAACAAACTATATATATATATATATATATATATATATATATATATATATATATATTCCTAAAGCAGGGCACAATACTGTGTACCTGTAACCCCGCCTACTTGAGAGTGTGGACAGGTGGATTATTTGAGCCTTGTTGCCTTGTTCATGGCCAGCCTAGCTACCTTCCTAACTCAACAATAAATAACTGGTTGGGCTGAAGAGTTGATTCAGTGGTTCTGGGCACTTGTTCTTACAGAGAACTGGGGTTCAATTCCCAGAATCCACTTGGCAGCTCACAGCTGTCTTTAACTCCTGTTCCAGGAAGGCCTGATTCCCTCTTCTGGCCTCCTTAGGTACCAGGCATGCACATGTGCACACTCAGTCATGCAGGCAAAAGACTCATACACATAAAATAATATCAAAAAATTACCACCACAAATACAATAATAAGATGTGGTAATAAGATGATGATGGTAACTGAATGTGGTGAGGTACAGCACAGTTGCGATCCCAGCACTTTGCAGGCCGGGGCGAGAAGATTGCAGTGAGTTCAAGGACAGTTTAGGCCACATAGCAAGACTGACTCAAAAGAGCTCTGAAGAGATGGTTCAGCTGTTAAGAGCACTGGCTGCTCTTCTAGAGGAGCCAGATTCGGTTCCCAGCACCCACATGACAGCTCATAACTGTAACACCAGGTCCAGGGACTCCCGACACCCTCTTCTGACCTCCCTGAGCATCAGGCATGCATGTGGCACACTGAGGTACCTATAGGCAAAACATTCAATATTTTGAATAAAATTAAATTTAAAAGAACAACAAAATAAATTGACTGCCTCAAAAGGCCCAGCAAACACAAATGGATACCAGCACGCACCTGTCATCCCAGCTGGAGAGCAGAGGGCCAGTCTGGATTGTATGAGACCCACCTAATCACAGAACAGAAAACAAATCCTCTTGCATATCGTGCATATAGCAAAAGCCTTCCTGATGAACCCCTCTCCATGTTGAAAAACAAGAGGAAGAAAAGGCGTGAGGGAGATAAACACCCTTTTGCAATCTTCCCCATAGATTTGGAGTCCTTGTGGCCTAATTGGTTTTTAAAGATGCTCCAGCCTCTTTGCCTGGTTACAATGGTAATTAGATTTCAATGTATTTTTTTTTCAGCAGGCACAAACAATGATAATTAGATTTCAATGTGATTTTCAGCAGGAACAAATATCCTTTGGAAGCACAGGGAGTTTGGGAAAACCTTGGGAACTGTCTCGCGGGATGCATTGGAATTTTGCATAGGAGAAATGGAACAGGAGGACACTTCAAGGGACCGGTGTGGGCAGAGGCTCAGAAGGACGGCTGTGTTGGAAATGATTGGAAAAACAAGCTACAGAAAGATGACAAACCAGCATAGGGTTGGATGACTTGGCCGAAAGAGATCCGTGGGCTAACCCAGAGATTCCGTTGTTTTATTTAAGTCTTTGAATGGTCCTTTAGCCAAAGGAATAGACACAGAGTGGAGGGTCAGTGGGAGGGTGAGGAGCCAGTGATACGGTCCAGGTAAGAGGTAATGGTGTTGATTCTGAGGGCTTGTTGAGAAGCGTAACGCCGCAGGCTGGATCTGCGGAGTGATGAAAAGAGCAAACCTGAAGATATTACACAGGATTTTCTGTTAATGAACGAGGATTGCTCGGAATGAACACCGCAGAAAGAAGCGTGTATCGGGGGAATACTTAACATGTCAAGAGGCACTGCCAATACTTGTCGAGGAGACGTCAAGAACTATGGCACTTCCTGCACATGGAGATGGTTTGAAACAACAACCCTAGAGGATGCTTAACATATGTATGTGTGTGTGGGGTGTCACATGCCACAACCCCCGTGGGGAGGTCAGAGGATGACGTTCAGGAGTTGATCTTCTTCTACCACGTGGATCCTGAGGATTAAGCTCGGACCGTCAGCGTGGTGGCAAATACCTTTACCTGCTGAGCCATCTGGCGAGCCCAAGGGTATTCTCTTAAACGGTCTTTTTACAAATACAAATAGGTCTGTAGAAGTGGTTCAGTGGTGAGAGTACATACCGCTCTTGCAGTTGATCCAAGTTTGATTCCCAGTACTTATATCTGACAGCTAACAACCTGCAATAACTTCAGCTCCAGAGGGATCTGATACCCTCTTCTGACCTCCACAGGTGCCTGTGTTCTTGTACACATATACTTAATTAAAATCCTTTTGTAAAGGTTATACATATTTTTTTTCAGATTAATGGGTCACAGAGTCGGGATTTGAATCCACGACTAAGTTCAAAGTTTGGTATGGTTTTTTTTTTTTTAAATTTTTTTTAGACAGGATCTCAGCATGAAGTTCTGGTGGATCTGGAAGTACTAAGTAGACCAGGCTGGCTTCAGACTCACAGAGATCCACCTGCTTCTGCCTCTGGAGTACTAGGATTAAAGGTGTGCACCACAATGCCCAGCTCCCCTTGTCCCCCTCCCTACATTGATATAGACTCTTGGTATGTAGTCAAGCTTGGTCTTGGGGGTCCTGGTCTCCCAAGTGCTGTGATTTCATTGTAAGTTTGGACTTATGCCCTCACTCCAGTTCTGCTGGAGGGAGCGTCTAGTCATTGCTGAGATACAAACAGCATGAGCGTCTGTCCTTCCAGGGAGCATCCACCGACTCTTCTGATGGTGTCCTCTCTTATGACATTTCTTAGATTGCTAACATCTTGTGAGCCTACCTGTTTCTTCTTCAGCCGGAGAACTGAGGGCAGTCTATTTTGTATTTCCAATGTCTTTGTGTAGAATGACTGACTAAACAGCAGCCTGTCTTCTAGACAATTCTGACCTTGTTTCTTCTCTACATTTTTAGTGTACAAATAATCAAGTTCTGCTAAGTATGGTTGCTAATTTCTGGCAGCTTCTTTCTCCCTAACTTCACTCTCGGGCTTAGCTTTGGGTTCTTTGATGTAAAATGAGAAGAATGTCTAACTTGACAATGCAGTCTAGCAGCTTCCTGAGAAAGCACCCAAGACCTTGAAACAAATGACTCACAGCTAACTTGTTAAGAAATGGTGACTGAAAGAACATGAAAAGGCACAGGCTCAGAAAGCTGATTTTTAGTATGTGTTACTAATGATAGGGAGGCTTGTCAGGTTGAGTTCAGTGCCGGGAGGGCAGGACCATGTTGGGACATCGGGAATGAGGCTTTTTTCTGTATGGGATAAATGTATGTCTGTTCAGCGAGAGTGGAAGTCTGGAGGAGAGTGGATGCTTGTATAGACCCTTGGAGAGAGAGGGTCTTGTACAAATGCTCTTTGTAGACTCGCCATAGCTACCATCTAGTTCCCGGATTGCCGTGTGCCTGGCACAGTACTTGACATGCGTGATATTGTTTAACCTTCACAACATCCTTGCGAAAACCGGTGGTGTTAACGCTATGCAGAAGAGATGAGGCTCAGACAGACTAATTAATAATGTTCCCAAAGACACACAACCTGAAAGAGTTTTGAAAGCACTAGATTATCCTTCGCTAAGAGGAGTTTCTGGCAGTCAGGGGTTGGGTTTTCTGTTTCGATACCACCCGACCTAAGTCTCAGAAGATGCCTAATAAACCTCACTTGGATCAAGAACGCATAACTTTTCACTTTCCTTCATTAGAAAAGCATGAAGCAACGTCGCTGGAGAGCCTCCTAGCCGCCAGGGGACGCTATAGCTACCTCCGTGCATTCCCAACAGAGAGGCGGATGCCTGGCTTCCTTCCTCTTGTCGATTGAGGCGAGCTCAGCCAATCGCTACTCTCCGAGAGTGCCCGGACGCCAGTGGGCGGGGTCTCGGGCGACGCCCCGCGGGTCCCTGGGACCGGCGACGTCCGTGCGTGAAGCTCCCGGCTTGCGGGCGCAGCTCGGGGCCGGTCCGGGGCGTGCCGGCTGGGTCGCAGGTGAGTCCCACGGGGACGGCTTCTGGCCGTGCCCTCCTAGTTGAGGGAGGGATGGTCTCCGTGGCCGAGTGTGGGCTGCAGTCAGAACTTGTCCGCCTGAGGGTAACGAGGCCACGCCTTTGGTGTAACGGGACAGGGGACCGGGAGCTGATGACCCTGACCTATTTCGCTCTCATCCCCAGACTTGACTGTGGTAGCTGTCAAGGCTGATTTCTTCCACGTCCTCGGACCTCTTCTGACTGTTCTCGAATTTGGAGTGTTAACTTCCGGTAGGACCAGGCGCAAGGACAGGTTTCCGGGCGGCCCAGTTGACTCTGGACTCTTTGGCAGGCTCCCCGGCGTGCTGGGGTGGGAATAGGCGTCAGTGTTTGCGAGACGTTTCTGCTGCTTAACTTTTTGATGCCCTAGGGACGACTTCATGAAGTCTAGCTGCTTGTGATCGTATTCCTGCCCCTTTGTGATTGTGGGTGAAAGACTTAACGGTAGCGACTTGAGTATGCGGCTTGTCATTCGTTCTCTCAACAAACTTTTTTTTGGAGCTCTTTAACAGGGAGGTTAGCAGTGGGGAAGAGGCGTACAGCATAGGACGATCCGGACATCCTTGGTCTTTAGCCTCACGGAGCTTCAAGGTGTTTTGAGAGAGGTAGACAAGTAGGGTAAACCCACACAATGCCTGTTACAGGGAAAATGGCTGTGTTGAATACGTGGGTGACTGGAATGTGAACAGGACCATACAGAACTTGTGCTTTATATGTAAGAGGATAATAGTTGTAGACCGGGACTTAAGACACATCGGAAAACCGAATGGAGAGTTGCCATGTAGCAACAGTATGAAGAACTCGCACCTGTAATCATAAGCCCTTGAGAAGTGGAAACAGGAGGACAGCAGTTCTAAGTCACCCTCAACCACACTGAGAGTTTGAGACCGGGCCGGGTGACATGGGAACCGGTCTTAAGAATGAACAAAAATTTAAAAAAGATTCTAAAATCTAAAAAAGAGGAGAAGTTTTGGGTTTGGTATTCTTTGGGGTGTCCCTCTTTGTTAATGTGTACATTGTAAGATTTTGTAAAACTTTTGGTGCAACCTTCGAGCACACAAGAAAGGAAGTCTTCCAGTGTAATGAAGAACTAAGCTAGTGAGGAGCTGCAGGAGTCACGTCCTATGTCTACGGTTTGAACAGACACCGTAAACATGTCTGCAACGTGTTCTACCAGAAAAAGCCCGGGCTTGGCTTCAAAACCAGTGGGCTGGCAGCTTGGAGTGACTTTGCTAGCAGAGTGTCTTTGAGCCACTGTTGCCTTAGACAGGAATCTGGGCGAGTAATTCCTACATCATAGAGGTATTGTGAGGGTCAGGTGATGACTGGGGAGCTACCACGGAGCACAGGGTATGGGGTCAAGTCAAAGGACCGCAAAGAGAAGTGTGAGTCTGCTGCAGTTTCTCACCCCGTGGTCCACGCGTAGTCTCAGGCCCATAAGACACTCTGGCCCCTCCAAGAGAATGAGAACCAGAGGGAGAAAGAGCCGTCTAATTCTCCATGATGTTTAGATGTCCCCCTAGAGCGGAGAGACGGCAGTGTTGGAGAAATCGACACACGTGCTGATCCTCAGCAACAAATGCTGACCACTGAGGCGTGAATAGGAGGGTTAGAGTTCAGTGTGTGTGTGAAGTGCTCAGCCCAAGGCCTAGCCTGGAATAAGTGATCAGTAGATGGCAGCTAGCATTATGAGTTCATTACCAATGGCCTTTTATGAGTGTGATAGTAATGGAAATAATGGTATAAATAGTAATTTAATAGTGGTGATCATTTGTGACTAAGGGGCCATTTGAGTGAGTGGGTTTGTGTATTACTTTGGTATCTCATTGCAGAAGCCCTAGGGGCAGCTCCACAATATTTGTTAGTTTTATTTTACAGTGATTCCCACAGGGACTCTGAAGTACCGAGGCTCTAGGGCATCTGGAGTACTGTATTCATTTGTGATAGCTTCAGGAGCTCACTGTGCGCGTGCGAGGATGAGAGGATGGTTGGCAGGAGTGTATTTTGAGGGTGTTTGGACCAGGTTCTTTTGTTAATAGAGGTTGCTGTCATTGTTAAAAAAGCCAAGTCCAGAATAGGCTTAAAACCCGTCTCTATCTTTAGTCCAGGGTAGTTAGGTAATGGATCATAGTTTTTGACTGTTAAATAAGCCTCTCCTACTTCATCCAAGGAGAGGAACTACTCATAATCAGAGCCAGAATTCAGAATGGGGCTGTGTGTGTGCATGTGAAATTTCCCGGAACAGAGAAAAGACTTCTTTTTCCCTTCCGGAAATGTTGACAGACTGGAGGGGGGACCTGAGGTCACACCAAGTTTGAAATTCCATTAGGTGAACCCACACTTTTGGGGAACATCTGCACAAAGGAGCACAGCTGAGTTCGTGGAGATTTTACCCCCTTCCTTAACCATCAGATCTTGCACAATTCCCTAGAGTATTTCTACTCTATTTCCTAGGGACCCAGCCATTGCATGAAGCACAGCAGCCGCTGGCTGTTTGTGGGGTGGCTGTTCAGTTATTAGTGCCAGGCCGCCTGGTGAGTAGAGTGTCCCACGGGCTGTCCACATCTGCTGGGGGACAGGGTGCCTGTTTCTCTGTAACCTCTCTTTTCTTCTGCAGATGTCATGTGGCCTGTGCTTTGGACCGTGGTGCGTACCTACGCTCCCTATGTCACCTTTCCTGTGGCCTTTGTGGTCGGGGCTGTGGGCTACCACCTGGAATGGTTCATCAGGGGAAAGGACCCTCAGCCTGTGGAGGAGGAGAAGAGCATCTCGGAGCGTCGAGAGGACCGAAAGCTAGATGAGCTGCTAGGCAAGGACCACACTCAGGTGGTGAGCCTTAAGGACAAGCTGGAATTTACCCCCAAAGCCGTCCTGAACAGAAACCGTCCAGAGAAGAATTAATGGAGGGCCCAGGTCCCAGTGGCCCGCAGGGCTATGACATGCCCTGCCACTATGTTGACCCAGCTTCAGAACATACATCTGGTTTGCTTTGCTGCTCACTCTGGCCCCTTCTGCACCCCACGGCCACACACGGACTGGCTGGTCGTTCATGGCTGTACAGCTGCAGCAGTAGGGGCCCACGAAGAGGAGACTGCGTCTGTTGAATGGCTGTCTCCATGACTGTGCAGGCTTCTGGTCTTCCCTGGGATCACTGCAGAGAGGAGCCCTGGGGAATGAACGCTGCTCTCAGGCTTCCTGGGGAGGGGCTTGTCCTCAACTGGGAATGGGTGGGTTTGTTGTTGCCATAAGGAGGGACACCTCCATGTCTAGTTCTAGTCTTTACACTGGAAAGAATTCAGAAATCTCCCTGGCTCTCTTGAGTTTTTCCTATGCCCCAACACATGTGTCCCTTTACCGGCTCAGGGGTGGATTCTCAGGGGAAGGAGAGCATGCTTCTGTTGGTGGGGAGCTCAGGCTGTTTACCTTGGGACAGAAGGGGCATGTGCCTGGAAACAATCCCTGTCTTCCACCCTTCCTCAATGTGAAGGGAGAACCTCAATTAAAGTGGCACCTGAGACACTGGTGGAATTCTGTCTTCTGGATGGGGTCTGGGTTCTTCTAGGAGTTACTGCAGGCCAGTGGTGTCTACAGACTTCCTAAGACCGTGAACACAGCTGGAAGCTCTGTTGCACCGAGTGCTAGCTGAGACTCCCCGAGGCACAAGTTCCCAAGAGTCTTTTTACCATGGCTGCACGAGGCTGCAGCATCTCCAGAGTCTAAATTGGCAGCACACACTCAGAGCTATTTGCACATTAAAGAAATTGGGCAGGACTGAGAAGGGTCACCTGCCCTCCCAGTGCTCCAGTGTAGATGCTGGCAGCATTTTGTTGTCTTCACTAACGTCTGTGTGGGTTTGTAAATTCTGCTTTGTTTTGAAACGACCACTGTGTAAACATGCCTAGCCTAGAACTCATTATGTAGACCAGGCTAGCCTCTTAAGAGCTAGGATGGAAGGCGTGTGCCACCCCACTTAGCTTTAGAGTAACCCTAAAGAGTTCATGACTATACTTTTATGTCATTTTTCATCTTTACCATATGTGGTCGACATTGTTTTGGGGAGAGGAGGTTGCTGAGATGGGAACCTAGAGCCTCACACCTGCTAAACAATCACTGAGCTACATCCCCAGCCCTCTTTCTTTTCTTTTTTTCCAATTTATTATGAGATGTCCTATTAGGTTGCCAGGATATAGTTCTTGACTTCCTGGCTCTCCTGCCTCATCCCCATGAGTGCCTAGGATTATAGACTTGCACTGCTAAAATGGATTCATCAGTGCTTGCTTGCTTTTTTAAATATTTTTTTAAATTATTTTGCCAGGCAGTAGTGACACATGCCTTTAATCCTAGCAATTGGGAGGCAGAGGCAGGTAGATCTCTGAGTTCAAGGCCAGCCTGATTTGCAGATTGAGTTCCAGGACAGCCAGTGCTATACAGAAACCTTGTCTTGAAAAACAAATTATTTTATCATCATGTGTTTGGGTGTTTTGACTGTGTGTAAGTCTGCACTAGACTTGCCTAGTGTCCCACAGAGGCCTGAAGAGGGTGTCAGATCCCCTAGAACTGGAGTTGTGGATGATTGTGAGCTACCGTGTGGATGCTGAGACTCAAACCCAGGTCCTCTGGAAGAGCAGCTGATGTTCTTAACCACTGAGTCTTCTTTTCAGCCTGTGTTCCTAATACTTTCTAGAAATTATTGATCGTGTGTGTATGTGTGTGTGCATATGCGTGCGAGTGGAGTTCAGAAAACGTTTTGTTCTCTCCTACCATTTCGGTTTCAGGGACTAAATGCAGGTCATTAATATTGGCAAGTGGGTACCTTTATATTCTATGCCATTTTTCAAGCCCTCACCATTGTCTTTATCTTAATATTTGTGTGTGTGTGTGTTTGCGCAGGCGTGCATACGTGTATATAATGTGCTGGTGCCCACAGAGGCCAGAAGACGATACCAGACCCCTTGGAGCTAGAGTCACACGTGATTTGTGAGTCACCTGATGATTCTGGTGCTGAGTACTGAACTCAGGTTTTCTGGAAGATACAGCTCTTAAGCACTGAGCCATCTCTCCAGCCCCCTTTACTGTTTTTAGTAGCTGTGCATTATGTACCCGTCAAGGGAAGCTATTGCAAAAGCTGACTGTAAGGTTTCCGTATTGCTCAGTGTGGATATTGTTCTTGTTCATGAGTTTAATGTAACTCATGACCGTCTAATGTAGCGTTTCCCCTGTGTTTTGGAGTCAGTGGTAGGAAAGACCATTGAATGACCAACAAACGACCTCGGATGAAGTGAGTCTTCATGCATAATACAAAACATCCCTTCTGAAAGTACTGTAGTGTGCGTTACCACTGGGATGTTGCTGGGGAGGTTGAAAAGGGAGAGAGCAGAGGGCTGGAGGAAGCAGATGACTAGCCCAAGAGAGCAAAGAAAGTATAGTGGGCATTTATCTGATTAAACATGAATTTGCCTCTAAATGAGGAAGGTGCCTCCCCTGCTTGTCCCCAGAGGGCTGATGGATGGCATCAGGTGGCGAAGCCAGCTATGGTGTGGGCATCCTGGGAAGAGGGGCAAGTGGTGGCCTGGAAGAGAGCAGATACAGTCAATAGCTCTCCCTCTGTGCCTAAGGGGATTGTTCGAGTTGTTGCTCGAACACCTCTGATGGGCAGTTTTAGGAGCAACTGTGTACCTCTCAAGAAAGGATGAAAAGATCGATTCTGAAGGCATCGACTAAGCTGAGGTTTAGCCAGCCCTGGCTAGGCCAGTGATGGGCCTCACTAATAGTCCAGTGCTGTCACCCTGTGGCTGTTCTCAGTATTACCAGACCTGTGGCTGCCCCACTAGGCAGAACTTGAGTCAATGTTGGTGCATGCCTGCAGGGGGCAGTCAGGTGACAAATGAGTGACAGGGCTGGCCAAGGCTGAAAACTGGAAACCACAGGTCTGTCAATAGGGGACGGTAAAGATCCAGCTTTCTTTTGTTTGCTCCCGCTGGGGCACCAAGTTTTCTATATATCCTCCCCCAAAGATGCTAGAAATTGAATGAGGTTTTCCTTATTATTTCTGTTTGTAGAGCCTATTTTACAGATAGAGACAACTCACTAGAGAAAATCTGGGGGCTGGACATTTAGTTCAGTTGGTAAAGTGCTTGACTATTCACGCATGAAGCCCTGGGTTCTGTCTTCAGCACCACATAAACGGGGTGGGGGGCATGACTGTGATCCCAGCATTTGGGAAGTAAGGGCAGATAGAAGTTCAGGGTCAGGCTAGTGAGATGCTCTGTGGGTCAAGACTCTTGCTGTGCAGTTTGGTGGCCAGAATTCAATCCCAGGAACATCCGAAACAGAGGACAGGAAGAACCAAGCCTACAGAGTTGCTCTCCGGTTATCACCTATGTTGTGCTGTGGCACGCACGTACATGCAGTGCACACACCCTCACGCAAATGGTAAAGTTCAAGACTAGTTTACACAGCAAGTTCAAGGCCTGGAATACATGAGATACTGTCTTACGCCAACAGAAACAACCAAAAATTAAAAGTGAGGGGCCAGCAAAATGGTTTTGTGGGAAAAGGCACTTGCCACTGGATTTGATTCTTGCAACCCAAGAGGTAGAAGGAAAGAATCGACCTTTACATGCCCTCAGGTTCCCAGGGGCAGAATGTAGCAAGTGTGTGTGCATGCACAATGAGTAGAAATGTAATTAAAATATTTAAAAAGTCAAGCTTGCCAATTTGTGACCTCTCAAAATGTCCTTCAATGTCCTCAAAATGAGGATGTAGTTCATGTGGTCCTGGAGATGCCAGTGCTAACACCACAAGGAAGAAAGTTGCTTCTCCTAATAAGATCAAAAGGGCATGTGTTTTTACTACTCCCCAGAAGTGGATTTCCATGAAAACATGTTTGGAGCCAGGTGTGATGGAGAAGCTGAGCTCGGATGGAAAGCCTTGGCCACAAAACTAATTCGAGTCTAGCTAGACTACATGTGAGATCTGTGTCAGAAACCAAAGCAGAACACCCTCTCACAAAGAAAAAGGAAGAAAAAACCCAACAAAACGATTTTTTTTATTGAGTGTCTGTCCCAGTGCCTGACTGTGTGTAGCTCAATATAGCCTGAGTTAAACATTGAAGGGTGGAAAGAAAGCCACAGAAACAACGAAAAGGTTTTCCCATAGACGGTTCTGGATTTTTCAGATATTTTAGAATAACCCTGCCCCCATGGGTGCACCTCCTACCCACGCCTGGCCGAGGACGGCCTATCTTTGGAAATCCAAGTGCTCCTGTCTTTCAGCCTAACTTTGGTTGTGCCTCCTTTTAAATAATTTCCTTTCCTGGGACACGTCCTTGTTGAATTTCTGCCTTCAGCGAGTCTATTAATATTCTCAGCTAGACCTCCCTTTCCCACGGACCGGCTGAGGTGTGTGGCTGCTGTCATAGCGGTAAGGCAGTGCCTGCTCTCCAGTCCCTGTGCAGGTGGCTGTTTTGTCATGGTTGCTGGGATGAACAAGACTCGGGCTGGTTTTCTTGGTGAATCATGCTTGCTGCTGATTCACCTTGGAGATATGTGAATTGTGTCTTTCGATTGGCCCAACAGTCAAGGTTCACTTGGAACTCTGCTTGTTCTCCACCCTCCCCCCCCCCACCCCCGGGTCTTTCCCCAGAGTTATGATGCAGTGACTTTGGAGCAGGGTTATCCTGTCTGAGCGTAGCGGGCCTGACTTCTGTCCCGAGTGGCTCACTGGTGCTTTTCCACTCTCTGGACTCTCTTCCTGAGTCTGTTGGCTGCGTTAGCACAAGTCGGCTGGGCAGCTGCCAGGACAAGCCTGCCAGGGAGTCCTCTGACTTTTGTCTGCTTCTCGGGGCCCTGGGTTGGTGAGACTGTTCGGGGACCGAGATAGGGAGGAATTAGTGCCACAGCGTCTGGTTTGGGAACCAGGCTGTCAGGGTGGAAAGGCTCACTGTGTGTATGTGTATACATGTGTGTATGGATGCATGAACATGTGCTTTCACGTGAGGAGGTCAGAGGTCAACATTGGATACCTTCCTCATTCACTCTCTACTTTATAAGACGAGGTTTCACAAGGAACCCAGAGCTGGACAGTTGAGCTGGACTGGCAGGTCAGCAAGCCCCGGGATTACTTCGACTGCTCCATCTTATTGGCCCCAGCGGCTCTGTCTTGATGGTTCTCCCACTCTGGGGTGGTCCTTTAGTCCCTGAGTGCTGAGCTAGGCAGCGTAGCAGAGGGCAGATCAAGGTCGTCTACACACCTGAGTTTTATCTTCTGCCTGAGCATCTACCCGAATGATTGAGTCATTGAGCATTTCTGAACTCTGATGTCTTGCCTACAAAAGGGCTAAGAGTTTTTGATAAATAACATGAAAATGTCAGCATCTAAGGCAATGGTTCTCAACCTTCCTGACGCTGTGACCCTTTAATACAGTTCCTCGTGCTGTGGTGGCCCCAACTATAAAATTAATTTCATTGCTACTCCATAGCTGTGGTTTTGCTACTGTTTTGAATCAATGTAAATATC